ATATTTATGGACAAATATACAGTTTATTTAGCCTGTCGCAATGCGTAAATCGTGGCAAAAGACTGCGCCATTCAACTGTCAGTTTTTGTATATCTTTTTTACGTTGACACCACCCTCGGAATTCCGGTGTAGAAGGGCGCTTTAACCGTATTTATGAAGAGCGAAGTACTATTAAGTTGAACATTGGATGAATCGCCTTTTTATTATTGTATGTTTTTTTTTAAACTTCAAGCAGTAATGTACTGCTTGTCAAGTTACTTGCCGCGAAGGACTTAACGGGTTGCCGGAGCTTAGACTCGAAGGGCAAGAGTAGGAACGGGGTGGTTTTAAGTCGGTAAGAGTCTGACACTCCGCCTCACACAGGTGGAAGAAGTCATCCGATGATTTTCCCTCCTTAAAAAAAAAACAAGTTACAAAACAATGAAGATTATAAATGTTGGTTTAGCATAAAAATCTTGACAGTTAAGCAGACAAATAACAAAAGTTTTCAAAGTCCTCTGCATTGGTATGGGGTCTAGAAATTGTTTGTCCTCAAAAGGTTATAATAAACTATATAGTAATTGTTACCAACTGTCGTAGTCGTAAGAGTACAAAACGACCTAGGTCCTCTTATATTCCTTCGGGGGATAATAGGATAATCTGTTGTCGTGGTAGTCCGGAGGTTTAAGACGCCCGTTTCTTATGCTTGAGAGTGCGGTTCAAAATCTACCAACGGAAAGTACTAATGTGACTTTTTCCGAGTTATATTTACTTTCTAAGATTATTTAGACACCACTGACAAACGGTTTAGGAAAACATCGTGAGGAAACCTGGACTTCTAATTTCTAATTATAAGCTTGAAATCCCGCATTGAGCAAGCGCGGTGTTTAATGCTCAAAGCTTCTCCGTGCGAGAAGAGGTCTTTGATCAGCAGTGGCCACTTATAGACTGTTGATGATTCAAAATGTATATTTATCGTAATATGACACAGTTCATTCATTACTACATTTTGTTCTTCTAATGAGTAGGTGTGTTTGTTCACGTATTCCGTGTACTACATAGTTACGCAGCCAAATTGTAGTCAAAACGAGAATGTTGCGTGATGTTACAATAAATGCATGAAGGTACTTATAAAATAAATAACAGAATAAACACTTGGTCTACAGTTTTCCTGTTTTTCCTTTAACCCACGTCAGTCAAGGTTACTTTAATACATTTTCTGTCTTAAGTCTTTCCATCATCATTAACTCTGTTTACGTAAATACCGCACACATTTCGCCTAGCTTTTTTTTCATTTTTTAGACCATAACAGTGGAAGATAATTACACGACCCACCTGATGGTAAGTAGTTACCGTGGCCTATCAACGCTTGGAACATATGAATATTTTGTCTAATTATACTAATTCTACTGAATTCTACCGAATTATTATCATTTGTCATCATAATCAGCCTGATGAATTAACAGAACATCACGCCTTATATCTCCAAAGGAATAGACAGAGGTGAACATTTTTTATGGAATATATACAAATACACATACAAATCACCTGATGGTAAGCGATCAGCGCCACCCATGGACACTTGCAACACCATAGGAGACACAGGTGCGTTGCCGACCTATTAAAAAGGAATACGCTTTATTCTTGAAAGTTTGAAGGTTGTATCGGTTCGGAAATGCCGCCGACGACAGATCATTCCACAGTTTTACTATGCGAGGCAGAAAGCTACGCTAAAGCTTACATTAGGGTATTTAATGCCACTGTACAATGTACCTCTAATACCCACTTTTACTATTAATGTTATGAGTCCCATGTAATAGGGGGTGAGTCTATTGCCATATATATACATTCACTGCAGAACATAGGCTCCTCCCTAATGACTTTCAGATCGGCCAGTCAGAATTTAGACTGCAATTTTTCTTCTTCTGTCGTCTCAGTCTTGGCAGACGCGACTATTCTGACAGCTACGTTCGTACAGTGCATCTAGTAAGGTCATAGTTTTAGGTTCTGGGACCACATTTCCACACCAATGGGGTGGTGCAACTTTAGCCTACATTTCAAAAGAACACGTATTTTCAATCAATCACTTTCTCATTTTATTGAAAGGAATTTATGTAAATCCATTCAATTGAGTGTATTTTGAACGAACGAAATAAACTATTCATCATTTGATATATTGTTTAAACTGTCAAACACCAAGCGGTCACCGGTGACCGCAACCTATTGTTCTATAATTGTGTCTACAAAACCGGTACTCGACGAGTTAACATATTTTAGTTTGTTTTTTACTTTTTAATTAAGGTGAAATACTAATGCTCATGTTGGTCTTATATAGTCGGATGTAAACGTTTAAAGTTCACCTACTTTTGGCTAGCATGGGCGTTGCGTATGTGAAAACGAACCTTTTTTTTATGGCATAAGCCGGTAAACGAGCAGACGGATCACCTGATGGTAAGCAATCGGCGTCGCCCATGGACACCTGGAACACCAGAGGCGTTACAAGTACGTTACCGGCCTTTTAAGGATTAGGAGTTTAAGGATCGTTGGGTATTAAGGGATTCGGAAGATTGGGCAAGGGGAGAGGGGTAAATGGGCCTCAGGTAACCTCACTCACACGACGAAACACAACGCAAGCGTTGCTTCACATCTGTTTTCTGTGAGACCGTGGTATCACTCCGTTCGAGCTGGCCTATTCGTGCCAAAACATGGCTCTCCCATACTAGAAAAGACCATTCTGTCGTGTGGCGTTTCTTATACTTAAAATAATTAACATGAAATAAATTTCTTTCTTTCAAAACTTTGTCTTCTTATACATAAGGTTTGCGTGTACTTTGTCATTACACGTAAATAAATTAGGATGATTTTATAAATAGTACATAGTAGTTGTAAGTTCTAAAAATATTCAAATAAACACTAGAATTGTAGTACATAATTGACAACGAAATGTTCGCAGTTAACTTTCAGTTTTACACTGAAATAGGTTAGGCACGCTAGCACGTGAGCTCTGCTACTAAATTTAAATATACCACGCTAAGTCAGCATAATAACAATTTTCTTTGACGTCATCACTTGCAAACACTTCCCAAACAAAAGCCTTACAGCAATAAACATAAGGTTTATAATCCTATTCCCCTTTTTTTCTTTAGTATCTTTCATTAAAATTTCGGTTCAGAATGCTCTTTACTATATAACTAAGCCTTATTCGTATGTGCCATGGAGTTCAAAATGCATTTAAAATTATTTGGAAGTTAAAGTTCATATATCAGGTAAATCGTAAAACTGAAACGGAATTCACTAACTGCTTTAAATTCCACTTTTATTAAGTCTAAAAATAGTGAAAATTTTAATATTAATTATGGTGCATTTTTTTGTATAGAATTTGTTCAAATTAGAGTTTTGTAAAATGAATTGTAGTTGCTGCTTGGACTTTATTTTTAGGAACGGTTTTTAGTACCTATGTTGTAAAATTATGCCGTACTTTTGCCTAGATATGATAGTCATTCAAACTTATTGTATTTACACAAGTACTGTTCACATTTTTCGTTTTTCGCTACTAAGTTTTACTACGCATCCGGCAAAAAAGAAATTAATTGCTTACAATACAATTTCTTGTTTCTTGAGATAATGCTACAACGATTTTATGACTACACTAGACGAAATAAATTACGACACATTTTCGAGATGATGCTCAACGATGTCAATAATTGCTACTCACAAAATAACAATTAGATCTTTAGTTTTTTAAGTAAATTATTCAGTACAACTTATATAATAATAATAATATAGCCTTTTATTCAGATCCTTAACTTACATTACGTTACACTTTCATTTAAAAGCAACGTAAAGTTAAAAATTAATCTATTATTTGTTGTTTGGTGATCATTTGCAGATCTGTTTGCCAATCGGCAAAGGCCTCCTCCAACTTTTTCCATTCTGTCCTTACTTGAGCCACTCTGTTCCACGTCATAACATAAATTATATAGTAGTACCATATTATGCGTTCCTAAGCTGCATTTTATGATGTGAAAACTTTCAAAAGTCTTTAAGTTTGTGGCTGTGAACGTAAGTTCCCCTTCGCACAATTTACTTAGAATTTCTTGAGGTTTTACGAGAATTAAATTGAAACGTCTAACTGTATTTCAATTCCCAATGCATCCAAAGTGAAGGTCGAATAACCTTCAAGTGCACTTTAATCTATTTTAAAGCACTTTTCTCTTGGGGAAGCAAAGAGATAACGTGTGTTGGAAGATTAATTAGAGATAGGAAGATTATATTTGTTTATTTTAAATGCTAAATGACATTTTTTTTTTCAATGTAATGACTTTTTGTTTTGTCTCAATGCCATATTCGTTTTAATTTTTTTTTACATAAGTTTCTAATTTTTTATCGACTCTACTCGTGACCAAAGGGCTGGTTATTTCTTCGGACAGATCATAAGCGTTGCCATTCAACGTGGCAATGCTGTCACTCACATCACACGGTGATCCGGACGAATTCTTTGACGCCTAACTGGTGGTGTTTTTTTTAGTTTCTTTTATTCATAATAAGAATTAAGTTATTTAAGTTTATTGTCTGTAAATAAATGACTTTGTATCCTTTATCTTTTTGGCCGAAAATGTTAATGCTTATATTTTAATCTACAGTACCTAAGATCTAAATCTAAATCTAAAAGTCTATATAATTTGATAGATAACACACACATTCATTTAGTTTATAAGTGCCTACTGCTGACCAAAGGCCTCTTCTCGTACAGAGAAAGTTTGAGCATTCATTACAACGCTTGCTTAATGCGGGTTGGCGATTTCAAACTTATACATGATTAGAAATTATAAGCCCAGGTTTCCCCACGATGTTTTCTTTCATCGTTTGTCAGTGGTCTCTAGATAATCTTACAAAGTATATATAACTCGGAAAATGTCACATTTGTACTTGCCGTTGGTAGTAGAACTTAACTTTCAACTGCGTAAATAAGTAGGTAATACAAATAGCTATATTAACCGAAAACTTCTCGTTGATTTCAGGCTCTGCAATGATGTTGCATCGAAGAGGAATCACACACTGAAACCCAGAGTAGTTCTGCCGGAAAACTATGTCAAAGGTATATTGAATCTTTCTTTGTAATTAAGACATAACTTTTAATTCTTGGAATGCTATAATTGATGACCTTTATATATTAATAAACTACAAAGTAATATCCATAAAAAGACAAGGCATGAAAAGACTGATGACTGTTGATGAAGCGAAAGAGGTATGAAAGAATCAAAGCAATTGAAGTTCTCTGCCTATGCCCGTAGCAGACAAAGTCCAAGTCAAAGCATCTATTTTAATTAAACTATAATTTAGTACTTTTGAAACGTCTGTCAGTAATAGTCTGTCAGTCTGCCCGTCAGTGAAGCTATGTGCTCGTTCCACGCGTTCCAAAATGTAGATTCAAATGGCGAAGATCGAGCAAGAAACTCAATTCGTTACTCTTTTTAACAGTGTGAGGTTATGTATGAATGTACGTAAATAATATCCATCTATATTCAAAACGTAGACAATGATAACTTTAATCTGTTGCATAAGGTTAGATCAATAGATAATTCGACATTTATACAAGAAAGATTAAGTGAAAATGGACACGGTTTTCGTTAAGTAATGTGAGTATATACAATTGCTTTATCCAGTGTCAGTAGTGCAATGAAAGCCACGTGCCGCTTTACAAGTCTCGTCCTAGGAGAGCTGCCTTTAAGGTTACCCCTTTACAATCCACCCGATTCAATTCAGGTATAGATGATAGATGCAGGGATAGGTACCTATAGCCTTCCAGAAAGCAATTAACCTCTCGCGCGTTTCTCGTACGCACGGTGTCACGTGCAGATAATTCAATTATTATTGTCATTGAAGTGGAGGATAAATACTTCTTGGTTGAGATTAAAATAAGGATTTTTTTTTGTTTTTAATATATGCATACAATTTAATTGCACGGTTGCGCTGTGACGTAAGCAAACTCAAGTTTTTTTTTTGTAAATGAACAAATGAATGTTTCGACTCTATGGTACCTACTTATACATCAAAATGTGTACGTGGAAAATGTACTATATATATTCCATGACAAAATTAAATTTCAAAGCGTAAAAGAAATGTTTTAACAAATTTTGTCTTCCAATAATGAAGAGCTGAGTCTGGACAACTTACCAGGTCAAGTAATAATTTTAAGCCAGTTCTGAATACTTTGATATCAACAGTATAAAACTCTAAATCCTAACACTCTTAGGACTTAACCTAGATTTAGGCTTAAAAGCCAAAAGTATTTTACCTCAAAACAAATTTTCTTTAGTAAGATGATATATTGTGGATAAGCCTCCACTTAAGGTACTTATTTAAAATGAAACGGGAAAATGAAAATCCACTTTAACCTTTTGTTTACAAAAAAACAAGCTCCTTAATATCGGCCCTTTTAAGTACTGCTTTATAATTAAGCTGTAATCATATAATTAATTAATTTGTTGAGTTAAAAGTCATGATTTTGGTTTTGCTTCGACACAGTAGAATGTCAAGGAAAACTGTTGGGATTTAAATCTATGTCCTTGAATGAAATGAGCAAAATTATTATGCAAAGCTATGTTGAGAACATAAGTAGGAACTCATGTTCTCTTAATATTTCGAATATTATATTTTACCTTCTTGATTTAAATGAACAAAACACTGACTGCGTTGTTGGCCGAATGGTCGCAATTACGACTGCCGGGCAAGAGGTCTCAAGTTCGATTCCCGGGTCGGGCAAAGTATTACTGGGCTTTTTCAAAAAATCTCAGGAGGTGCACGGAGTCTGGAATTGTGTCCGGTATATGGCAATAGGCTCACCCCCTATTACATGGGACTCATAACATAAATAGTGAAAAGTGGGTGTGACATTGTACAGTGGCATAATGTTGAGGACAAAAGGCATGTTACGTTATTTTTATAGATCATGATGTCTAAGACAAATAAAAAAAGAATACTTTAGAAGTATCTCAATGTCTCTATAAACATCCAATTTACGCAACATTGTACCTTATTATAATAGAACGGCTTAATACATAACTGTCGAAAATAAGGCGTGTTTACTCTTTGACACCTTTTTGGGAAGAACTTCATAATAAGTAATTTTCCTGTTTTGTTTGTGTTAGAAATGCGGCCACCGGCGCGTAAGGGCCAGCCGGTTATCGTGGAGTTCAGCATCTACGTAGTAGACGTCAACTCCATCAATGTTGAGGACATGGATTTCAGGTGAGTTTTGGAACTATTTGTGCAAGTTCCTACAGGATGCCCACATTAAATTTTGCACTTTAATTATGTTTCCCTGTTAATAAATATCTTAAGAAGACTTAATTGTTTAGAAAAGGTTTTATTTGATTTTGAGAAAATATTAAAAAAACCGCTTAGTGTTTCATTAATTGTTTGGGAAAGGGAGTTTATTTTATTTTTATTTTTATTTGGACTCCCAACAAAAGATACACTTACATGCAAAAAACAACCACCATATGTTACAATAACCTTGTGATCCTTCAATTAAAGGGAATCACATCATACCCATACAATCATTTAGCAATTGAATGAAATTAGATTAAATTAAATTTAAAAAAGGAAACAGATGATAAAGTTAACCAATTTATAAAAGTTCCGTATAACTTTAATAATAAAATGAAGTTGAAAGAAACGTATTGGTTCCTTTTATCTGCTAATCTCGAACTTATTTTAGACGAGTTACAAAAATATCTTAGCAAAAATAAAACTGTTAGAACAGTCTTTCAACTGTTCCTCAACACATCTCCAGATAAAAAAACAGCCAAAAATGATAGTCCATTATACTTCCTGCCTGCATTACAGAATTGAGCTGAGCGGTCACAAATCCGGCAGCTTAACGTGTGATCATGGCAATTTCCTTTTTGACAGGTAGCAGTTGTTAGCACTGAGAGGCCCCGTGGTCTAAGAAACATGTTACATTTGAAATGGCCATTTGACGCCACGTTATTGCCAACTGCGATTCTTTATTTCGGGTTCAATTCGCGCTTTGGGTAGAGTATTATTGGCTGTTTTGAGAATTAATCAGCAATTACTATATGCTTGTATTTGACTCATAACATAACCGGTTACTTTTTATCGGATAAGCCAGTAAACAAGCAGTCGGATCACCTGATGGTAAGCCATCGGTGTCGCCTATGGACACCTGGGACACCAGAGGTGTTACAAGTGCGTTACCGGCCTTTTGAGGATTACGAATTTGAGGATTGTTGGAGATTCAGGGATTGGGAAGATTGGAGAAGGGGAGGACGCTAAATGGGCCTTCGGTAACCTCAGGTCATGACGAAACACAACAACAATAACAGCAGTCAAGCGACGTGAAATAACGCTTACTTTCACGTCGGTGTTCTGTGAGGCCGTGGTATCACTCCAGTCGAGCTGGCTCATTTATTCTGAAGCATGGCTCTTGTACAATTAAAAAATATTTGCCTAGTGCAGTGTAGTTAGTTGCGCTTTGAGGAATCATGGCGATTAAACTGTCAAACACCAAGCGGTTACCGGTGACCGCAACCTATTGTTCTATAATTGTGTCTACAAAACCGGTACTCGACGAGTTAATGTTAAAACCTTCTCCGTGTGAGAAGTAGCATCTGGGCAGCAGTGGCCAATTATAAGCTGTTGATGTGAATATAATCTACGTCAACACGCATCTTCACACTGACACGTGGCACAAAAGTAAACTGAGTACTTACCACCAATTTAAATATTGATAACCAATAATTTCATCAAGGAATTGAGGCTCGATATTATATCATTACATAAATAAGGTCGTCATACATTATCCAAGGTTGAAAAACAAATAATTTGTCAACTCTGACCCCATATGTCGGTTACATTCGATCCGGTCGATCACCATTAGGTAATCCATAATAATGGTACCTTCTACTTTTATTGAATAGGCTGATCGACCTTCAGTTTACCTGTAGTTGTAAAATACTTAGATATGATTTGTTTATAAAACTGTGGCTTTAAACACAATTTATCTTATAACACGTAATACATCTTGTGAAGTTTTTCAGAGATAAAAAACTTATAGTTCTGATGTAATTAGATTCTTATTGTTTTGTAAATTTGATTCATAAAATAACATTTTTTATGGGATAAACAGGTAAACGAGCAGACGGGTCACATGATGGTAAGAAATCGGCGTCACCCAGGGACACCTGGAACTACAGACGCGTTACAAGTGCGTTACCAGCATTTTAGGGATTACGAATTTGAGGATTACTGGAGATTTAGGGATTGGGAAGATTTGATAGGAGGATATTGGGCCTTCTGTACGTCACTCACATGACGAATACATAACGCAAGCCGATTTTTTGTAAGGCTGTGGTATCACTCCGGTCGAACCGACCCATTCGTGCCGAAACATGGTTCTGCCACATTTAAAACCTGCTCCTGAATTCTCAATAAAATGCGCATATTTAAATGAATTCAGACAATCTGCACACCGTACAAATATTTGTTCAAAAAACTCCCAAACAAACACAGTTACCAGCCGCTCGGCCAAAAACAGTTTTTTGCTTTGTGATCCCAAATAGCGAATATTCCCAGAACTTTGGCCGTATTTACGTTCAGAACATAGTTTGCACGTACCAACCCAAACTGGCATTAGACTTACATACGCCTAATTACGGCCACATGATACAAACGTTGGTAACTAGGTTTCTTGTTTCCCTATCCCTGAAAGCGATCTAGTTACAGCTGAATCTGCTGAAAGTGAAATAAAATCACGGGTTTATGTAGTCGCAAAATAAGGATTTAGATAGCAAAAAGAGTAATAGCAGGACTGATGTTCGATGGTACATAATCTTGTGTCAACAGTTGCTTACTTGGTTTAACCAATGTTAATTTACCTTGATTATGTCTCAGTTTTCTCTATTTATATGCATCTTATAATTTTTATATGTACTTATCAACAAAACGGTCGGTAGGTTGACCCCTCTAACACAGGTTTTCCTATCACGGGGGTCATTGAATATAATTACAAACTAAATGTCTTCATGAATTCTATATAAGTGTTGTGATATTGTAATGTTTTGAATAAACGATTTATTATTATTATATTGTTATTTAGATTTGGATTCAAATTACTAAGGTCTAGCAGACTACTTGTATAAAGTAGCTGCGTTAACCACCTTCATAATATCAAATATCATGATAAATATTATTATTAAAGAAATTAGAAAAAGCTAATCACAGCTTCACAATTGATAGTAAAATAAAATAAATAAGCCTTTAATAATTATGTTTTTCGGCTTACTCATGTAATTACTTGACGAGGAACTCGACTAGTTTCAAGCCATGCTAGAGGCTCAAATTCATGATCAGCATTTCTGGTCAAATAATTACGACAGTAAGCCGAAAAATATAATAATTAATTTAGTATGTCTCACGAAAGTTGTAAAATAAAAATAAGCCTTTATTTAGAACATGCAAATACAATGATAACTAAAATATAGTATTGCTTTCACAATTAACATCCATTTAAATAAATACATTTTCGGTTTTAGTCAGACATTTAGAGCATAATTGCCACTTGCCTTGTACGACCAAAAGACTAGGTCTAGTGAATAGCTTAATGACTTTAATGACATTTTATCCTAATTGGTTCCAGAGTGGACATGTTCATAAGGCAGACTTGGAGTGAAAGTCGACTACAGCTACCGGAAGACATCTTCGAGGAAGGTGATGACCACGTAACCTTACCGCCAGAATTCTTTGACAACCTCTGGCATCCAGACCCTTACTTTTTGAACTCCAAGGTCACAGGTAATTGTTACAACGCCATTGTAAATTGTATAAAAATAAAAAATATGTTAAACCAAAATAATATGGGTTATTCAAAAAGTTCTGATAGTTGCATGTCAAATTGATTAAATATCTAATTAAAATAAAGTCATTAATTTCATTATGTTTAGAAGTAATTAATATCGCAATAAATTCATTTTTATTGTATCTACAGCTGGCATCAAAAGTAAGTGTTAATAATATTGATCACATTATTTTATCGAAAGTAAAAATAACCAACTAGCTACTTAATGTAAAAGATGAGATTAAGTCCAGTTCTAGTCACAAAAATATTTTAGGAAAACATTTGTTGTCAAGTTTTATAATTAACAAATATCTCCTTTTGTCATCATGAAGTAAAAAATATCAAATATAATATTAATACATTAGGAGCGAGTCATACTAAATCTCTTATAGTTAGAATGTATATTGTTATCAACATTAATGCAACTATAAACGATCTTGATACTTTAAGATGTATTTTTTTCTTTTCTATTTAAAGATTTTTAAGATTGCTCATCTACTGTTTGTTCACCTAAGCTTTATTAAAAATTAATAAATTTAAACTAACATCTTTATTCAATTTTATCTTGTAAATTTTAAACGAACGCTGATACTTAAGTCTAACAAAGTTTTGCTTTTTAGGAGGAGCAATGAATTACAAACCTCGATCTCCTGGTAATATTGTAATATTAAAGTTTTAATAAAAGCTCCTTATCTCACGAAAGCCTGTTGTACATTGAAAACTTTAATTTTGTAAAAGCCGTTTATCTTGTTTTAAACAACTTTTAACAAATAGATCGGGAATTTATCGATTTTTACCTTTTTTTCGTTGTCAACGCTACCTTTATAAAACTTTACTATTAACATTTTTGCGATGCATTGTTATGCCATTACGCCTTTTTATCCCCAAAGGGGTATACAGAAGTGCACATTATGGTAACACCCACTTTTCACTATTTATTTTTGAGTCCCATGTAAGAATGAGCCTATTGTCATATATTGGGCACAATTCCAGACTCCGTGGTACTACTGAGATTTTTTATTTTGGACCCGGGAATCGAACCCTTAACCCCTTGCTCGGCAGACGCACTTGCGACCACTCGGCCAACGAGGCAGTTTGCAATGTATTTCAAATTATTGTTCATCTCACCTTAAAACCTTTATTTATAAAGGCATTTGTCAATTTAAAATTCAATCAGTACAAAAAATTTGTCAACTTGGGTCGACATTTTGTCGTGAAACGTTCCAACCATCGGTGTGGAACTGTTTTCAAAGCCAGTACAAGGCGTAAAAATTCAAGACATTTTTGCACTGAAACATTTTACAAATGAACCACGGCTAAATAAAAAAAAATGGGTATTCTGCCAGTTCTTCTATTGTTTGATTTCAAATGTACAGCAGGCTTTTCTAACACTTTGCAAAAGATTAAATGCTTTCGTTCACTCTGAGTTTTCACATGCAAAAGTCTTGCTTGAGAATACCAGCAAGCTTGTATACTTAGATTAAAATAAATTACTAACACATTGCATGAAAAAAACGAGAGCAAAGTATTTAAAAGATTTGAATAAAAGTATATTACATATTTATTTCTTAGAAAAAAACGTTGGCACCTAAAAGTTTTGTAATTTCATTTTGTTCAGGTTAAATCTTTTTTGCATGTTTTTTTCCTTATCTTCATATTTACTTCTTACTTATCTTCGTCAATTTTATCATAGAAACTTTCGATTTCGTTTGACCTTCATACAAAAAGTTTTAGCAAACGGCGAATATTTCACTTGTAAAATAAATTGAGTTTTGTTTTTACACGAAACAATTACTATTTGTAGTTCGAAATAGTGTTCATAACTTTTCGTATTAAAAAAAAATAAATAATTATAAAGTATTAAAACCTGTTATAGTGCGTCGCTAGGTTTTGTAGTTAAGCTTTTAGCGATGAAATTTCACGTCATCACGTAATTTTGCCTTATCTTAAGAGTAGATATGGAGTTTAATGACGGTCACAAAGTTAGAACACTAACCCTCAAATACTGAAAGGTTACTCAATTTTAAGTTATAATACAATATCATACTGCCTCGTTGGCCGAGTGGTCGCAAGTGCGATGGCCGGGCAAGGGGTCACGGATTCGATTCCCGGGTCAAGCAAAGTATTACTGGCTTTTTAAAAATCTCAGTAGTAGCACGGAGTCTGGAAATTTGCCCGGTATATGGCAATAGGCTCACCCCCTATTACATGGGACTCATAACATAAATAGTGAAAAGTTGGTGTTACATTGTACAGTGGCATTAAGTGCCGTAATGTGCACCTCTGCGTACTGCTTCGGGGATAAAAAGGTGTGATGTTATGTTATGTTATGAAATATCGTACCATCGCTGTCATTTGCCAAAGAATTTGTAATGACAAAACCACAAAACATATCTTTATATGTTCTGTAGACAGAACTGTACTTAAGCACGACTTAAAATTGAGTATCATTTGAGTATTTGGACATAGGTTTATGAACCTAGGGCAGCTTTGGTGAACACTCGGTTTGAGCACTATTATATAAACACCATAATATATCCACTAATATATTGTGAGCTTGCTAATCACACGAAATTACTTTTATAATACGTTTTCACGCATCCATTCACGAGAGTTCCGATTGAAATTATTTTATATATAATAAATGATTATATAAAGCACTGTTTATTTACACGAAGCAATGATTGATATACTGAAATAAATTATTAATTATTTTGAAATTATTCATTATTAATAGACCAAATGACCAAATGACAAATGACAGTTTTGTGTTGTTATTATTTTTTTGGTTAATTGTACAATATTGTACATAATACGTACCTTACTATACCATATCTAATGAAACAGTTGTAAATCAGCATTGAATGAATGATGAATGGTATAAATTAGAAAGGACACACTTTTGATACTAATAGACATCATACATAATCACCTACTACCAGTCTGATTACGATGAAACTTGGTATGGTTATGCTTTAATATCCTGGGAATCACACGGAGTACTTTTATCCCGAAAAAGAATAATATGCACTAGAAAACTAACTTAATTGTGCGGCTCGGTCCGGACAGTAACTGTATCTAGCTGAATTACTCGCAGTGGGCTTTACGCTGTAACTGTAGGGCTTGTGGTCACAATCAGCTTGAACGGCTATTATAAATGTGGAAATTTGTGAGTTTATACACACAAATATACACAAGACATGTCACTTCACTAATCATGTCAGCAAATAAGAATATTCATTAATTAGCATTTTATGGGATGGCCCAGTAAACGAGCAGACGTATCAGCTGATGGTAAGCCATCGGCGACGCCCGTGGATAAACACCAGAGGCGTTACAAGTGCGTTACCGGACTAGGAATTTGAGGATTGTTGAGGATTCAGGGATTGGGGAAGGGGGGGTTTTCGGGCCTCCGGTAACCTAAAACGACGAAACAGAACGCAAGCGTTATTTCACGTCGGTCTTCTGTGAGGCCGTGGTATCATTTCGGTCGAGCCGGCCCATTCGTGCCGAAGTATGGCTCTCCCACACTTAAAAAATGGCTACAAGAAGCTACAAGAAACAACTTTACATTTAACCAATATTGAACCGTTAACAACAATTCAGAGTTATTTCCGTAATCCTTCATTATTTCTAATTACTTACTTGCAACTCCTTTCTATGTCCGAAAATATTACTTCTAAAATATTTCTCCTTTATAATTAGATTTGACTGAAGTATCTTCCTTAACGAAATATTTATCTAACAAATGTAGATGTTGAAATGAAATGAAATTTTCCGGTTTACATTAACTCTATTTTCCTCTGAGCTCTTTTTATTGCCCTTACATTGAACCGTATCTTTAGAAATCTTTCGATGTTTGTTTTCTATCGAGGATAATTATTTAGTTATCTCATACTATTATACATAAAGCGGAAGAGTTTGTTTTTTTTTGTTTGTTTGTTTGAACGCGCTAATCTCCGTAACTACAAGTCTGATTTGAATAATCCTTTTTGTGTTGGATAGAGCATTTATCGAGGGTGGCTATAGGCTACAAAACATTACGCTACGATCAATAGGAGCTGAGCAGAGCGTGTGTAACCGCGCGGAAGTAGCTAGTACTTTAATAAATATGAAAACAAATTGTTTGAGACGATTTGAGAGGCCGTATAGTGAAGTTTTCGAGTGTAAATAAAGATTTATCTAACGAGATCATTAGACGAAAGGTAAACGTCCAAAAAGCTTTGTTTTTTTTAAAGCAATCATTCGATGATTACCCCCTTTAAAAAAATACGTAAGGTCAATTTATTAAGTTTATCAATGAAGCTGCTAAATCTGTGGCTTTATTAATATCTAAAGCATGGCTCCGGTGCGGCTCAAATACAATTCAAGACGACCGCGCGCTGCCCACCCGCCATCGGCATTTTATATTGACGTTATGTAACATATTAGTTATAATCTATATATATAAAAGAAAGTCGTGTTAGTTACACCACTTATAACTCAAGAACGGCAGAATAGATTTGGCTGAAAATTGGTAGGGAGGTAGCTTAGAGCCAGGAGACCGACATAGGATACTTTTTAAGTAATACTTTTTTTTTACTTTTTACCGAAAACAACGAACGGGGACGGGAAAAAATGGGATTACGCGTACGAAGTCGCGGGCAGAAGCTAGTGTCATATAATTTAAAGTCCATATTTAAATGACAACTTAATTGCTGGGTTGGAGCCGTGTTTATTATACGTGCAATGGGCTTACCTTTCTATAAAAAAATCTTTTATTAAATTTTACATTGCTTTCTTGATCGAGTACCTATCCTTATGTCAAACGTAACAGCTAATCTTACGGTTTGTAACATCACTTATCATAGGTCTAACAACATAATTACCGCATAAAACACAAAACTTCTGCTTACTTCAGAGAACACGTGAAGCTGTATTGTGGAACATTTAAGACTACAAACAAAACTTGTACCGAACAATATATTTTGAAATAATGTAGACACGGTTGATATCACAACAACTTCATTCCCCTATTGTGCTTGTGTAGACAATGAAACATTGAATAAGTTCTTACAAAGTTCAGTTTGAGTTAACGAAACTTAAATAAGTAATTTTGTCGGAAAATTGTCTAGACATTGTTAATAACAGTGATAAAGTATACACTAGATGTACAGTTTAAAGTATAGTCAAATTGAAAGACTATTGAAGTACAGTTTGGTGTATTTTCATTAGTAGCTACAATAACCGAACTTTGATCGGTGTTTTTTTTTTATAAACAATAATTTATAAAGCGAAACCTAGTATCATCGATTCACTGCCACTGGAACCCGTTAAATACAAAATTTCGTTGGAGCGAGTTTCCAAAATCATGTAATTATACCTACTAGCTACATCTGCTCAGTTTCACACGCTCTGCTCAGCTCCTATTGGTCGTAACAGGATGTTTTATAGCCTTTAGCCATTCTCGACAAATGCACTATCCAACACAAAAAGAATTATTCAAATCATACTTGTAGTTACGGAGATTAGCGCTTCCAAACAAACAAACAAAAAAACAAACTCTTCCGCTTTATATAATAGTGTATAAGACGTATAAGACATATACAAGAAATGCTCGTTAAAGGTTCGATGTTTTAGTCGTTAATTAATTCTTAACTGTAGGATAAAATTGATATTTGTCAGTTTAGTGTGGAAGAATTGTGAAACACGTATTCGAACTTATTCCTCAGTTATTTATTTGACATTGAAAAAATTGGCCCCTTTATACATAAACGTATCTGACGAAACAGTCGACAGAAATTAAACCTATTAAACTTATTCTATTTAGAGGTAGTTTAATTTCATTGATACGTTTGTATCACTGGTTAGGTTACAACTGCTAAGAAATTTCTTCACATTGTTGTCTTTAACATATCTACAGTCATAAACATCAACATTTATTAAAGTATCATTATTTTAAAAGGGTAGTCTGAAAAATATGTTTGTATCTTCCCGGTCATTCCAACGCAATATTTACACACATTTCAATCACTTATTTTACTAAAACTGTTGAATGTTTTTTTACTCTTTTTTTTCTCATGGACTACAAATAAGTAATTACAATGAGAAATTTAACCAAATCAATGTAACATAAAATACATACTCGATTTATATACCTACAGACCACTATACATATAGAATAATACTGGGGTGGGAGTACCTATTACAACACCATTATTCCTTTCCTCATAATGTTGAAATTCTTCTAAAATACCTCCATTTTCTTTTTCCAGAAATCGCCGAACTAACTCACAAGTTTTCATCAGTGACGCTGTACAGAAATCAAACCGTGCGGTATTCAGCCAGGATGCACGCGATCATCGCCTGCCAAATGGAATTTCAACTTTATCCCATGGACATACAGTCGTGTCCCATTTACATTGAAAGCTGTTAGTATTATTGTATTATCTTCTGTTTTTACGAGAAAGTAATGCTTAGTTCTTATCCGTTTTTAAACTTGAATGGTTTACAAAACTTCACAATGCGAATGATAATATACTCATTGGCCATCCCCGTTCCCGGAAACAACAGTTGTTTTTGGCAATAGAATTTTATGAGCAGCTCTAAAAGGCCTGTCTATTCCATAAATAGATTCAAATACAAAGCCTTTGATATGGTATCTAGAGTATTCCCAATAGATAGATCACATAAGAGAAAAATATTCATCCGACTCCATGCTACTAAAGGACATATGTGCATGTACATACTACATGCTCACCACCAATTAACTTATCATTTAAGTATGGACTTGAAATAGTGTGTCGTATAATATATTTCGTTTCGTTAAAAAAAATGTCGTAGTTGCCCGGAGGTTTAAGACCCGCCCGCCCGCTTCTAATGCATGAGGGTACAGGTTCGAAACCTACCAACGGCAAGTACCGATGTGACTTTTTCCGAGTTATATTTACTTTCTAAGATTATCTAGACACCACTGATAAACGGTGAAGGTAAACATTGTGAGGAAACCTGGGATTTTAATTTCAAATTATAAGTTTGTAATCGCCAACCTGCATTGAGTAAGCGTGGTGATTAATGCTCAAACCTTCTCCGTGTGAGAAGAGGCTTTGCTTAGCACTGGGCATTTATAGGCTGTTGATGATGATGTTGATATTATATTTCATTACGTCAATATCGGAGCACTTACAACTTTTTTGAATTGTTTCTAAAGCATGTAAACGCCGGTTCGGAGTCGTGCCGGAGCTTGTAAATTGTGTGACCTTAACTGAATTTCAGAATCGAAACCTTTCATATTAACTACTATCCATGACCTACCTCATCAAACCTAAAACTTATTATAGTCAGTAATTCTGATCAAATATAAAAAAAAATAAAATAAATTTATTTCAAACATACTGGGTCCATACATTTACAGTTTAATATTATGAAATATATATAATTCTTAATTAATTTAATTTAATTTATTTTATAAGGAACTAATTTAATTTCTTTCTCTTTTCCCAGTCTCATACAGTAATCAAAAAGTCCGGTTTCGTTGGAGCGAAGCCGGTGTCACAATTAACCCGGAGCTGAAACTTCTGCAATATCACATCGGAGAGCCATTGAGGCTTGAGGAAACTAATGGATACATGATCGATAAAGACGGTGAGAACTTTCATCTTAATATAACTAGATAAGACGTAATAGAGATGATGACGGAGTATGAAAATTAAAAATATAATTAGTCCATAAGTTAGGTAATGAAAAATTATTAGACACGTATTTTTTTTTTGTTGTATAATAAAATAACACTTAAATAAAATGAATCAAAGTTTAGGAATAGGAGCTAAAACGTCATTTCTACGTATAAAATGTACATAGAAGTGACGTCACGAGACATTTCAAATCAATATATCGTCGAAAGTATTCGTTTTTGTAATATAAAATACGAGTTTAATGATTCAAAATAATCTACCAGACGGACATTAAAATAAAAATTAGGCATCTACCCTATTGAGGGTTGAGAAGACGTGCACGTAATATTAAACATCAGCATCATCACCTTTACCATCATCGTTAACTATAGTACATTCTCACTTGAACATCAAACGACATATTAAACGTACCATCTTTAACATAGCATCCGTATAAAGTCTCGAGTGAACAGGTTGGACATAGGTAGGCGTGCTCCATCGTCGCCACATCATCACTTACCACCAGGCGAGATTGTGTCGCCTTGTATGAAATCGGTCCTCAAATGGCGGTGTAATCGGCGAACAAATGAAACAAATAAAACAATCAGCCGAACATAGTACCTCCTCCTTTTTTTGAAGTCGACAAAAAAATGTAGAGATTATTTTTTTAAAAAAAAACGTTGATCTACACTAGGATTTTCTCCTGTGTCGTGGGTGCGTTTACAAACATACAAGTATACATGCACATGACACCCAGACCCGGAACAACAACGGTTTGTGAACAACAGTGTTGTTCCGTGCGAGAATCGCCCCCTCGACACGTTGCACGGCAGCCGGTTGCCCAGCCACCGCACCAACCGTGCAGTCAGACTGTGTTAGAGTCGTGTTATTTCAGACCATAATATATCGCTGTTCCAGATTTCAACTCGTTCTCTTCAGTTGTTGTAACGTAATTGAGTTACAAACAAGCACACAAACATACAAACGCATTTACAATATTAGTAAAATTCCTAAAATTGTTTTACCGAGCTGGCTACTCAAAACAGAAACCGCTTACTCAGTAGCAGGCACATAATTAAAATTACCCCCTTATATAACATAACATAACATCACGCCTTTTTATCCCCGAAAGGGTAGGCAGAGGTGCACATTACGGCACTTATTGCCACCGTAATGTAACACCCACTTTTCACTATTTATGTTATGAGTCCCATGTAATAGGGGGTGAGCCTATTGCCATATACCGGGCACAGTTCCAGACTCCGTGCTACCACTGAGAAAAACCCAGTAATACTTTGCCCGACCCGGGAATCGAACCCGAGACCCCTTGCCCGGCAGTCGCACTTGCGACCACTCGGCCAATGAGGCAGTCTAAACATTTACAATATTAGTAAAATTCCTAAAATTGTTCCACCGAACTGGCTACTCAAAACAGAAACCGCTTACTCAGTAGCAGGCACATAATTAAAATTACCCCCTTATAACTTTCTACAGTTATACACAAAGGCCTAATTTCGACTGCGTTCTGTTACTGAAGTAATTATACTTTGATTGTATAGCAATTAATGTTCCCAAGCACCTAGTTAGTTCGGACGCTATCTAATTAGCTTTTTAGTATAGTTGTTCTAAAGACTGAGGGAAATTAGAACAACTTAGGACATTACTCGAAATGTGTTATTATATAGCCAAGATAACGTTTGATGATGCTGTAATGGACCATCAGATAAATTTGTCTTAGTACTGTTGTCCGTCATAAAACGCACACTATTTGTAGGGAAATTATTTCATTTAGTGTTGTCTGTTCAGTAAATAATTAGCACTTAAACACATGTACACACATACAACATAAACGACAACACATAGGTATATAAAAATAAAGTACTTAAGTCCCACATATTCCAAGTGGAATTTCTTCCTGTGGACCTGTGGCAGGAAAAGAAATAATGATATCGTGACACAATGTGATACACAAATAAAGTATAAATCAATTAAAAAAACAAAACAATTAAAAACAAAAAAAAAGAAAAGAAATAATTGGTATTGATAAATGAAATAAATCAATATAATACATAATACTACAAAAAAACAATAAATACATACATATAAGTAAAAAAATCTGTAGTTTAAGAGGAAAAATACGATATAGAAAGTTTTCTCACTTGTCTATTAAAGACGTTATTAAGTCACTTACAAAACGTCTATAGTTAAAACATAGCCTACCTTAATAACTTCCATTTAGGCCGATAAACAATTATATAATAGTAATAATACGCTTGAACTAATGTAGCTGTTATCAAATGAAAAGTTTCTATACCTTCTGGAAGGATAGGAGAAGTCACTTTCAGCCTCGCACAGCAAATTGTTGAATGATGTGTTGTCGGCGATATTTTCGAACCGATTTGATCTTCCAACCTTCAAACTTTTCAAAAGGCCGGCAACGCGTCTGTGACACCTCTGGTGTTGTAGGTGTGTGTCTTGTGTGGTGATACGCCTGCTCGTTTGAATCCTATTCCAAAAAAAAAGACTTTTCCTCAAAATATCAATTCGCAGGTTTAATTGCCCAATTTGACCAACTCTCCTAAATTTTTATCAATAATAATTTATAAGAATATCTTAATAACCGTCTTTAGTTAACATTAAATCACATACAAAATTATTAGGCTCTTTGTAATTGAACAAAATAATGAACGACATTTTTCTTTATCTCCATTCACGATATCTACTTTCTGTGACACAAGATCCTTTCAGAGCCTAATTTTCCTGTTGCTTATCGGCTTATCGACTCTTCGAATTGGAAAACTAAAGCTTATCGGGTGCAATAAAAGAAACATAAAACTTCGGCAGTTCAATTAGGTATATGCTTTTACCGAATTAGACTGCCTCGTTGGCCGAGTGGTCGCAAGTGCGACTGTCGGGCAAAGCCCCGGTATATGACAATAGGCTCACCCCCTATTACATGGGACTCATAACATTAATAGTGAACGTGAGTGTTACATTGTACAGTGGCTTTAAGTGCCGTGATGTGCACCTCTGCCTACCCTTTCGGGGATAAAAGGCGTGATTTGTATTGTAACTTTCGTGAGACATACTAAATAAATTAGGTGTATAGCAGCGCGACAGTCGCCGCGTCGCGGGTCGCGAAATGCTGCTCATGAATATGAGCCTCTAGCATGGCTTAAAACTAGTCGAGTTCCTCGTCAAATTATTACGTGAGTAAGCCGAAAACATAATAAATTAAAGGGCGTGATGTTATGTAATGTTATGTTATCAAGTAAGTTACTGAAAAAAGTTGTTGGAGGCTTTTCTCTAAAGGTACAAATACCTACGTACAACTATATACAGGCTGTCTGTATCTAAAATCCATATTTTCAAAGTAATCACATCCTAAGTGATAGTATATATTCATAAATCTTAACACATACGTCTTGAATTATATTACGTAGATACTTTATTAATATACGTAGCTATATACCTCATGAAGCTTGAAGTAGAATGAAGGTATATACACCAGCAGATCAAGTTACCACAATCTCTTTAATAGATTCTTAACGCTATCCTGTTGCAATAAGGTTGTAAATCTAACAAAGAAATTGTTAAATTAGGGTAGTTTGTTATGCTGTTTCGAGCCTCAAATATGCTGAATCGATGTAAGCGAAGACGAATCGTAATAAACTCGAATTGAAGCACGCTTCATCTCGTCTAAATGATTGGAATCTGAAATTAGTTCACACTTGACGTTGTTTTATTCATTTATTGCTCAAGAGAACTTCTTAATTAATTTAATCGTTACCGACACGTGTATCTTTTATGTTCAAATTATACACTCAGCTCTCGAACTTATAAAATAATTAATTCACTGGGAATCTTGTCTTGATTTCTTAATAGACTTTGCCTTATTTATAACTTTCGCAAAAGTACATCTAAAGTTTTACTTACATAGGTACATCATGTTTTAAATTCAATAAAAAATTAATTATTTCGACTGTCAAATAGAATAAAATATTACAAAATAATCACATTTTTACTAATTGATTTTATTGACCAAATAAATTTGAGTATTTTTCCAGCAAATTTTTACGAAATATGAACGAAAAATGTGACGTCACAATTCACAATCTCGTACTTACAACATTCATAGAAAACTGTCATTTTTGACAGTTCGAAAAAAGTATTGAATTTGACTAGTTGGCAAGTGTACCCAATTCAAGGAAACAGTGTAAAGGTGCTCCCACACAGCAGTAATATAACGCTAGAGACCGACTTAACATTTGTTTTGAAACAAATTATCAGACCAAAAATATTCTGTAAAAAACTAGCCAAGTCTCGATGGAGCTGCTAGTTTATCTCTAAAAAGTAATTAAATATAAATGGTTCCAGTAAAGGATGGTACGGCAGTGTTTGCTTCGCTCTCGACTTGGCGGTTACAAAAGTTGTAATTGTAACTTGGCATGCTGTAGAGTATATTGTACGCTAATATAAATACAGTATTACAGGATGTGGTATAACATTATATAACTGCTGTATAGCTCCTTAATATCAGAGTTATTTCAAAGATTTTAAACGTTTTCTTTTCTCGTAAACTCTCATGTTTATGAAAGCTCCACAATTTTAAATTTTCGCTTAGCATCAAGTTCCCTTGTGCGTACTGCTAAAGAGTAGAATTCTTTGCCAAAGTCTGTATTTCCTGAATTGTATACATATAACTTGGGAGTCTTCAAGGCCCGACTGAATAGGTTGCTTAGGGACGACGTGCACCATCATCGCTTATCACCAGGCGAGATAGTGCTCAAACGTCGGCCCATCAAACATAAAAACAAACTCACATAGAATCAAATGAATAACTCGATATATCGAATATACGATTAACCAAATCGGATTATGGTTTCCCAGAAAATCAAACAATACACTATACTGGAGTAAAGATGTATTCCACCTACGTTTTCTTTTGTGTTAGCAAAGCTAATGAGATCACGGGTGAACGTAATGCAACGCTTAACAAGATATTCCAAATATCGATAATTAAATAATTACAAAGAGAAAAGGAATTTATTCTATGTTGATTAAGATACATTAGCAAATGTATTGTTGCTGCCTAATGTAGTAATGTAAGACTCGGTTCTAACTTTTTTGCAGTCGTATCAGATAATGAGACCGAAAGAATAGGACACTAAACATTTACATTTAACGCTTTACTCCCATGCCTATGCATTGCATAATATCTTCTGTGCATTCAGCTGACTAGATAAGTGTGGGAGAGCCGTGCTTCGGCACGAATGGGCCTGTTCGACCGGAGTGATACCACGGCCTCACAGAAAACCGACGTGAAGCAACGCTTGCGTTGTGTTTCGTCGTGTGAGTGAGGTTACCGGAGGCCCAATTACCCTCCCCTTCCCCAATCTCTCCAATTCCTGAATCCCCAACGTTCCTCAAACTCCTAATACCCAAAAAGCCGGTAACGCACTTGTAACGCCTCTGGTGTTCCAGGTGTCCAGGCGCCGATTGCTTACCATCAGGTGATCTGTCTGCTCGTTTACCGGCTTATGCCATAAAAAAAACTTATAAAAACCTAGAAACCAAATTGCCAATAGCTTTTGACTGCACATAGGCCACACGATGACTACTGCGGCGTTTATTAACGTTTTAAAAATCAGGACAATGGCCGCTGGATGCAGGCCACACAACGTCCCAGTCGACCTATACAAAAGTCATTCGGAGAGTCCTATTTGGACCAATGTCTCGTGGCTATTTATTCACGATACATAAATTATTGATTTAATTTTTTTACAGGTAACTACTCAAGATTAGTAGTATACTTCAGGTTCGAGAGGCAAATCGGTCATCACTTGATCCAAACCTTCGCTCCATCTTCTCTAGTCGTGATGTTATCCTGGTTCAGTTTCTGGCTAGATCTGGATGCAATTCCTGGACGAGTGACGTTATTAGTAACATGCATGTTGACGTTAGTCACCATGTTCACTGGACTGAGGGCTGATATTCCACCAGTGGCTTATGTAAAGGTAAATAGTGATATAGCAGTAATATTTTGTACTAGTCTAATAAATACTAGAATATAGAGGTAGATATGTCCTAGTAACTTATATAAGGTGCTTATAGTGTTCACTTGTAGCATATCAATACTATTACACTCAGTTATGTAAATATGTATGTCACATAATACCATAGCAATATTAATAGTGTGCGCACTACCACTCTGCGTGCCGGCCGGTAAATCGAATGACCCAACAGAAGTACCTTCACATCTTGTGACAGATATTACAAGAGGTGACGGACGAATATACAAATACCCACATACACTCCAGTGTTTTTTTTTATTAACTCGTCGAGTATCGTCATTATAGACACAATTATAGAACAATAGGTTGCGGTCACCAGTGCCCGCTTGGTGTTTGACAGTTTAAGGGAGGAAAATTATCTGATGATTTCTCCCGCCTTTAGTGTCAGTCAGACTGACTAAAAACCACCCCGTTCCTACTTCTGCACTTCGCCGGCCGGTAACCCGTTAGGTTTTCCGCGGCTCCGTATCGGCATCAGCCCCATTGGGCCCCATCCGTGGTCGTCTGATGGCTCATTGAGGCGCACGCGGAACGCAACGCGCCGTACGTTTGGGTCTGGTTCTGGTCGGGCGGCGAGCCACCCAAGCACACAGTGCTTATAGTTAGTTTATGTTATCAGTTCCATATAGGTATAAGAGGCGGACCTATTCCGAAAAGCCTTGTAGTATTCCAGACTTCGCATTAAAGTCGTCGTAAATCGAAAAATCCAATAATACTATTTTAGACGCTAGCATTATTTCTAATTCAATTTCCCTGTTAAGCAAAATATTATAAGACTTGTGATTGCGCAGTAAGTTTCAAATACATACATACAATCTGAAATTTGAGATAAAAATGTCTTCTAGACTCACTGCAGAAAACCCTTCATTTCAAGTTCAATAAGGGTGTTCACAAACCGAGTAATGAGATTATAACTTAACCGGAACATATCATAACTCATGTTGGTTTTATGAAGATAATTTATTTATGCATCTGTATTTTCTATTATAATTACGATTTTATTTGTTTATTATTTATTTATTTATTTATTATAAAAATCTTCCTACACT